TGAATTCGATAATCGAGGCAAAGCCATTGAAGGCGGAGTCGGCCGAGACTCTTCACCACTTATTAGATACGTTTACCGAGAACACGCGCGCGCTCGCATTGATGAAGTTCCTTACCGATTCATGGGATTTTATCCTACTGAAGTTTTTGTTAGACAAGCTTCCTCGTTCCCTTCGGGAAAAATTCGAGTCTGCTCACCGGGCTGAGGAGATACCGCGATATACTCAACTCACGAAATTTCTAGCGGAACATTGTCAGGTTCTCGAGGCCGTCGCGGGCCCGTCCTCCAAAACCAAGTCCACGCCGGTCTCTTTGTTCGTGACTAACACGGCCGATTGCCCCGTTTGTAAAGAGCCTCACTACGTGTCAAAGTGCTCCCAGTTTTTGAAACTCTCGCCGAGAGAGAGGCAGGCTAAGGCTCGCGACTTAAAATTGTGCCTCAATTGCCTGCGCTCAGGGCATGGTATGAAAAATTGTCCTTCCGCATGGACATGTCGGTCCTGCGGAACAAAGCATCATACGCTTCTGCATTACGAGCAGAGCTCCAATACTACTCCTAAGACCGAACCCATTAGCGCGACTCCTGCCGAACCGGACGCCGTACCCGCTCCTCAGTCGGAGGATGCGCCGATTGTAACAATGACTAGCCTAGCCAATAGAATCGTCCTCCTGTCCACCGTACGAGCCGAGGCAATAGACGCGCGTGGCAATGCGTTCCCCGTACGCATATTGCTGGACAGCGCGAGTCAGGCCAATTTCATTACCGAGAGCTGCCTTCGGAAGGGCGGCTTTCGTCGCACCAAACACAGCGCAACCGTGTTGGCGATAAACGAAGCTAGGGCAGCCACGACGAGGGGCCTCACCTCCCTCGTGATCCGCGCGCGCGATCGCGACGACACTCGGTTCTCGATAGAGGATACGATCCTCCCGCGCATAACCTCGCCGCTGCCTAGTGACAAGGTGGAGGTCCAATCGTGGAAACACTTGAAGGGATTGCCGCTCGCGGATCCCGAATATTACGTGCCCGGCAGTGTTGACATCCTCTTAGGGGATTCGTTTGTGTCGATACTACGGGATGGCCGTCGTAAGGGGGAAAAGGGAGAACCCGACGCCTTCAATTCAGTCTTCGGATGGGTCCTGACGGGCGCGGTATCCCCGTCAGTCCAAGCAACACCCCTGCTATCATTCGCGACTACGCTCGAGTCGATCGAGACATCAGTGGGTCGCTTTTGGCAATTGGAGGAGGTGCCGGAGGACGCTTCTTGTTCGGACGAGGATCGACGCTGCAAGGAGATCTTTGCCCAGACCACGTATCGTGACTCCTCGGGTCGTTTCGTGGTCTCGTACTCGTTCGTGTCGGATCCTCCTATATTCGTCGGCTCGCGCTCCATAGCGGTTAGTCGTCTCCGCGCACTAGAACGTCAATTTAAATCTGATCCGGAGTTCAGAGTTGGTTACAATAGTTTCATGCAGGACTATCTCGATAGCGGACACATGGAGGTAATTCGCAATCCATTCCCGTCACATGTGGCCCGATGGCCACATTTATTATTTACCGCACCACGGTGTATATAAACTTGATAGCACTACCACTAAGTTGCGGGTAGTGTTTAACGCGTCCTCGCGCTGCCCGAACGGTCTGTCGATCAACGACACCCTGCTCAGCGGTCCGAAGCTGCAGCAGGACCTGCTCGCCATCCTGCTTAGGTTCCGCGCCGAAGCAATCGCTCTAACCGCGGACGTGAAGCAGATGTTTCGCCAGATTTGGATAAGCCCGGAGCAATGCGACTACCAACGTATCGTCTGGCGCTTCTCGGAGTCGGACCCCATCCTCGACTATCTCCTCAAAACCGTTACGTTCGGTTTGGCGATCTATTGTTTGCTCCAGTTAGCTCATCAATACCGCGAGAAATATCCTCTAGTGTTCGCAACCCTACTCGAGGCGCTGTATGTGGATGACGTCGTGACTAGCGTTCGTACGGTAGAACAGGCTCGTGCACTCCGCGACCAATTGCTATCGCTTCTCCGAAGCGCCGGCTTCGAGCTTAGAAAGTGGTCGAGCAGCCATCCTGCCGCGCTGGAGGGCCTCGACACGCAGTTATGTAGCAAATCAATGTTAGATTTCGAGTCAAGCGAGGATCAATCTCAGAAGATATTGGGCCTTCGGTGGCACTCACAATCTGACAGTTTCGGGTTTCAAGTCAACGCGTTGGATCGTGAGTGCACCAAACGCACTATATTATCGGAAGTAGCTCGCGTCTTCGACCCCTTGGGTTTTCTGGCCCCACTCACCTTTACCGCGAAGTGCTTAATTCAGCGTCTGTGGACCCTTAAATTAGATTGGAATGATGAGCCACCGATGGACATTCATCGCAGTTGAAACCGTTTCCAGACGGAGCTCGGCGTGTTATCCTTCCTTCGCGTTCCTCGCGCGTTTAACTCGTGCCATGTAGTTCGTTGTGAGCTCCATGGGTTCTGCGATGCCAGCGAGCTGGGGTACGGAGCCGTGATTTATCTGCGAATCGTCACGCGCGACGGCGTCGTGGTCCGCTTACTGTGCGCCAAGTCTAAGGTCGCCCCGCTTCGCCCCCTCACCATTCCCCGTCTGGAGCTCTGCGCGGCTCTGCTCTTGTCCAAATTAATCGCGTACGTCCGGCGCATCCTCCGCGGACACTTTGACATTGACGACAAGTATGCTTGGACGGATTCCGAGGTCGCTCGGGCCTGGATCCGCTCAGCACCACAACGGTGGAAGACCTTTGTTAGAAATTGCGTTGCCCTCATTCAGGACAACGTGCCGGTCTCAGCTTGGGGCCACGTCGACACGGAGTCCAATCCGGCGGATCATTGCTCCCGAGGATTTTACCCTCGTGATCTGGCCAGTTCGATGTGGTGGGCGGGCCCTGAGTGGCTTGTTCGCTTCGAACCCCGAGTTG